ACTTCAACTCATCTTTTCATCTGCTTACCGATACTCTGCAATTTTACAGACATTTTCGAGCATAGCAGTTTGCCAGCACTGAAACATCTACCATGCAAATATTTCTGACTAAACCATTTAATTTGATTTACGGAAACGATGAATGGCATATTAGTATCAGATCCCACTCTCCCATAATGATAGCGTCTCAATTTGCACTTCTTATCTAACAGCTTACAAAAATAATTACTGTTGCGAAAATCATTCGCTGAATAAACTTTTCTGGTGAGAGCTTCAAAATTATGCTTACTTTACAGCCCTATCACTAAATATTTCTTAATTCTCATCTCCTATTCATTCTCTAGTGCTGTTCGCATCGCCATCGTCCCTGAAGTGAACAACGACAGAGACACAGGATGCATTCAAATTCTGACTGATCAATTTTCGCAAAGTCCATCAAGCACTGTCTTGAATTTTCAGGAGTGATACTGGAACGAGAGCGTCGAACGCCTTGCATCTGGGCTATTGTGATGGTACCTACATGCCTCCGTATTTCACCTCTCCTCTGTCAGGTGCCGACTCTCTGTCGGGTGCAGCCGATGCTAGCACCGCAACACCGCTACTATCAGCCGCACCTCAAGCCGTTCGTTTCTTTAGCATTATTTCACGATATCAATAAGGAACGCTCGGCTCCCCTGAGGATGTCGAGCTATTACCAAAGTGGGTATTCGATAAACTGTAACAAAACCTTTACTATTCGTTATGCTCTTCACGAGATGCCGCATTAAACTTTAATATCGTAATGAGTAGTTCTTTATGAAGCAAGCATTAATCGTCAAAACATATCTCAACAAGTCACTGTTGATGTGTGTCGTCAAAGTCACTGATTAATTTTAGGTGAATGCGTTACTGGCTCAAAGTGCTCAATACACTACCAGCGGACTAGTGAACACCAAGAAATGCTGTCAGACTTGTGGTACCTCGCTGGCTGACGACACACCAAACCCGCCCGATGGTGGTTTTCTTCTGTGTGAACCGTGTGCCACCAGAATGCAGATGAACTCTGCTACTGGAGCTGTTACAGCCGCAGATCTCACTCATTTACAGCAATTACCACAGGTACTCAACAAACATTCCTCACGTCGATCGTACTGATCTTCGTGCACTCTTATAAAGTCTAAGACAGAGGTTCCCATAGGGAGAATTTACCCATCCCTGAGTAATTTGGGAATGTCAGGGGGTGATGGATGGGGTCGGAAAATTAGTTCTGACGTTATGCGTGGAAATAGTAAATTGTTATGGTGGGAGGGAAAATGACGGCCTGCCAGACCATCGAAGGGGATAATGGAGCATCCAAGTGTACGGACCACTGGTCTATCCTACTCAAGTGCTTTAAGAGTACTGTTT